AGAGCTGCAGGAAGAGCAAAGTGAGGTCAAAAGGCTGTAGGTTTGGTGCAGAAGCATTCTAGAGCAACTTTCATGATTCAGCACAGAGGAAAGGACTTCACCTAGGCCTCACTAGGTAGCGGACGGGCTTTCCCTGAGGAATCCTGCTCCTCACACAGGCTGCTGATTGCCCATCTGAATCAATTCCTGTTTATTTAACAGGGAAGGTAATAATAACTTCCAAACTAATTTCTATAGAGGTGCTGAAACACCTGAAGTTAATAAAATCTGATGTAAACAGTTACCAGATACTTGACATACCAGACTAGTTTGTGCATATTTTATTCTAGTAAACTTCCTTTGTGATGTTTTGGTCCATTTAACAAAAATATTACAAAACTTCAAAAGGCAAACAATGAGCAAGTTTAATTTTTTTTTTTCCTGTTATGTGCATACACCATACAAGCATTTATCTGAGGAAAAAAACAGTAAGCATGTTACTTTTCAAATCATTTTTATTAACAACAATATGGATTCAACTTTGTCAAGAAGTTACAATTAACATTGCAATGAACTGGCTAATGTCATTGCAGTGCCAGTGGATGCAGCCTTCGTGCTTTCTAAGCCTGTTACAAAACTGTCTTTTTATCGTTCAAAGAAATAAAAAATGCTTCCAATTGTAGATGATGCTGGATATGTCTGGAATTGTCATTTGTGTAGCCACAGCTGAATGAAAGGCCACATTTGCATCCAGATGAATGAAGAGAAAATGTTGCATGCTTCCACTGACACTGCCAGGGACAGTTCTTATTTCAAAACCCAATTAACCTTTTTAGATAGTGACAGCACTTTGTGTGGTGTTGTAATCCATTTGAATTAAGTCAATAAACACACTTGAAAAAAAATGTGAAGCGGAAATATCTGGGACAAATTCGTTTTCTGACCTGTAATTCATTCAAACCTAATGAATCCAAAAAGGATTGCATAACATATGAGTCACAATAAAAGTTGGCCCAGAGAGGCAAGTTCATTCCTGGTATAGGTGGGTTCAGTTCCTATAAGGTCAGTGGAACTGAGCCTGATTATCCCAATAAAGGCTGAACTTCACCCAGTTGGGCGGTAAATTCATTAAAATCAGTGAAGCCACCCAAGGATTAATTTAGCCTCAGGTGTTTAAACCCTTTTTTCATTCCTTTGCTGTTACATTTTCTTTTCCTGCTTACTTCTCTTTTCTGTTTATTCTCCTTATCTCTGTGCTTTTAAAAAATGTTCCTTCTCCTCTTCCCTTTTTACATCAATACTTTGTGCGTTATTTTTTATATAGTCAATGTGACATGGGTAAATTCAGCTAAATATTAGTTTCCTCAGGAAATAACTGGAATATTACCATTTTCACTTTAAACAGATGCCCAACAAAATGAGGATTTGAATCTGAGCTCCCGATTCAAGAAAAATTCTTGAATTCCATTGAATTACTGAATTCCATAGAATTTTTGCTTGAGTAAGGATTGCAGATCCCAATCTGGAAATGCTACTGTACATCAGATGTTCTACTATACCTCAGCAATTCAGTACAATTTGACTTACCACAGAAGAGCAGGTGAATTACTCATCACCATGCTATAATGAGAGCAGTCACTCTAAGTAGGATTATCTCAAAAACATATGGATCAACCGTGGGCACTGTCAATAAAAGTGTATGATCTCTGCAATCTTGAACCCTAGGCTAAAACACTATATTCATATTTAAATAAAAAGTATAGATCATATAAGCCAGGAGCAAATACCAATTTTTAAACAAATAATTATCATCAAAACTATTATTTTCAGTTCTCTCTTCAATCAGGTACAAGAAACATGTTAATCAGAAAACAGTTATTTGGATAAGGCTTAATTCCTGAAGCTCTTAATTAAGTTCAAATTCTCTCTTCTGGAATCCTCAAGTGGATTGTAAATCAGAAAAAAAAATAAATAATAAAATTGTCCTTTGTCCCTACTCATGAACAATACTAATTAGCTGCCATGAGCTGGGCTTTAATAAGCAGCTCAGGACAAGACATGAAAAGCCAGACAGGTCCTTCTTTTGTGAAACCAATGAATGACTGTCAGTCATGACACTGTCTGTTAAAGAGAGAGAACAGAAACAGGAAACTCCTCATGAGGAAATACGCGCAAAGCTTATAAAAATCCAAACAAACAATTCTTCCTCTCCAGAACTTCATATATTCACTACTCTTTCTATGTTCTATCAGTATTATGTTAAAAAGCTCCTATATGATAAGACTTGCAGCTACAAAAATAATAATGGTGAGCATAAAATAAGGAAATTAGGATTTTAAACCATAATTTGAAAAGATACGATCTTCTAGATTTATTAGTACTTTGTAAAGACATTAACATTTTCATACATAATTTATATCTCATTCTTTTGTGCACAAAATTGTATTAAATAAATTAACTTAAAATCAGAAGGACTCAAGCATGTCACTTAAGGCAAAAATACCAAGTTTCTGTGAGATAAATGATCAGCGAAACCCATAGTCCTGTTTCTGTACGGAATCAGTACAGGCAGGGCTGATGCTCAGTTCTCCCACTGATGCCTTCCAGGCTCAGTAGGGGTGCAACCATCTGCACGTGCAGATGAAGGTGGAAGAGTGGAGTCCAATTCACAATGCCTTGATTTTTCAATCTCCTCAAGGAGGGGAGGGGAGTTTCATTACTGACACACAGTTCCCATGTGCCTCATCTCTTGCTCCTTCACTGGACCTATTTATGCTTAGGCCAGCAGGAGGCTTCTTATGAAAGGCAAGAAAGGCACCATAAACCAATAGGAAAAAGAAAGAAAAGCTTAAAAAAAACTTGCAAGTTTTAAAATTGTTGATAGGTGTTCAAACTTAGAGATCTGCCTGGATAAGCTGCAGACATTCACATAAGTTAAAAGTTAAACAAACTGAGATGTGGAAAAAACCCTATTTATCCTCACAAAATTACTGTTGTAATCAGGCTTTAGAATGATCAGACTGCACATAAAAGAAAACAGGTAAGACTGAATGTTGTAAATTATATGGCAAATTGTGCTTCAAGGTGTCTCAGGATTTAACAGCTGAAGTTTGCTCCAGCATAAGCCATGGAACACAGTGTACCATCCGTGGACCCCATATAACGACACAATATATACACTCTACAGTGTGCATGTACTTTCACATAATAAGGTTATCATGTAACATCCAGGAATACTTCTGTAAAGGAAATATGGAAGCAGAAATCACAATGGTTTCATAGTAAACAGATCAAGTCCTTCACAATACAATCTACAGCATTTAGCCATGGTTAAGACTCGAGTGACATTTTTCATGTATATAGTAAGTTCCCAGCAGGTCTAGGCCTTGAGAAAACACTGCCCTGAGTGAGCTGGCACTGGCACCCCCGTACACTCGGTGTTCCTGCTACTAGAGGGAAGCTGAGCCCAAGTCAGTTTGTCTACAAGCCTGTGGTGCAGGTGGGGTGTAAATCTGTGGGGAGGCAACATGCAGAAGTTCAGCTGGGAAGAGTAAAAGCCCATTTAGGCTCTGCAAGGGTTCTCCCCGTGGCAAAACCTTGCTGGGGATGTGCAGACAGGTGCTAACACTGCTCCTGCATCTCAGCAGAAGTGAAGTGGA